GTGGGTGCACCCCTCGTGGTCCTGACATCCTTGCTCGTGTTCTCCCTCCATCTGTTCCTCATTGGAACCTTGAGAGCTCAGTCCAGTGCTCCAGTGTGGGTCTCTGTCTCTATCTCCATCCATCACCAGATGAAGGTTCTATGGTGATACGGAAGATATTCGTCAGTATTGCTATAGGATAGGGTCATTTCAGGTTCCCTATCCTTAGCTTCCAGCAATACCACTCTTGGGAATATACCCAAGAGATGCCCTATCATATGACAAAAGCATTTGTTCAACTATGTTCATAGCAGTATTATTTGTAATAGCCAGAACCTGGAAACAACCTAGATGCCCTTCAATGGAAGAATGGATGAAGAAAGTGTGGAATATATACACACTAGAGTACTATGCTACGGTAAAAAACAATGACTTCTCGAATTTTGCATGCAAATGGATGGAAATAGAAAACACTATTCTGAGCGAGGTAACCCAGACCCAAAAAGATGAACATGGGATGTACTCACTCATAATTGGTTTCTAGCCATAAATAAAGGTCACGGAGTGTATACCTGGTGAACCTAAAGAAGCTAAATAAGAAGGTGAACCCAAGGAAAAACATATAGTTATCCTCTTGGCTATGGGAAGTAGACAAAATTGCCGGGGAGAAAATTGAGATCTTGGGGGTGGGGTGGGTTGGGGATAAGAGGGGATGGGGAGAGAAAAGTGAGAAGGGGAGGATTGGGGGAACTTGGGGAAACAGGAAGATTGGGATAAAGGAAGGTTGGATAGGGGAGCAGGGAAGCACATATCTTAGTTAAGGGAGCCATCTTAGGGTTGGCAAGAGACTTGAACCTAGAGTGGCTCCCAGGAGCCCAAGGCGATGTCCGCAGAGGGCTTCTTTTACCTGGAAGTTTCAGAGACTCAGTCTGCAGGTGGAAAGAGACTTGTCTGTGATTCTCTGTGTCTGGTACACGACTCCTCCATGACATTTCTTTATGGTGTGATTATTTGTCATATGTATATACTGTCTACAGATGGTTATTCTCTGAGACAAGGAGCCATGTATTATCTTTTATCTGCCTTTGTGTTCTAAGTGTTTTGTGCCTTAACTTTTATCTTATAGGAGTTAAAAAATCATTCATTGCTGATTGTTCATTTCAAAGAGCAACAACATGTAAATACCATATACAATGTTCAAATATTTTCTTCTCTCTATTAATTTCAAAGACCCTCATGTTAGGAAAAGCTCATTTAGGATGTTTGATAAAGAACAAGCTAAATATGCAAATAAGTTAATTGGGAGATTTTTTTTCTTTTAAAAAAATAGTCTCAATAAAAAAATAAAAATAAAATAGTCTCATTGTATTGTCCAGATTCGCTTTGAACTCACCAGGTAGCTTACACTGACTTCAAACTTACGATCCCGCTGTCTCAGCCTCCCAACTGCTCTAATATCCTAAATATTGGGGGCTTTTATAAAGACTTTATCTTCTAGTTTCATCCTCAGCTTTCAGTACCTTAGAAAGCAATCTTAGATGGACAACTTTGTTACTTGTTATTCTTTGACTGCCAGTGACTGTGTGATTTTAAACCCTCTACTGTAAACTACCTCAGCCCTGGCCGCTGCAGTTCCTGGGAAGCCAGTGATTAGACCTTGTGGATGAAATTCTTCATTTCAAGTTAAAGAACATTATAAGCAGTAAAAGCTTCTTTTACTTTATAGCCATCATATGCTTTCCTCAGAAGAATGCCTTGTATATGTTTGAGAAGAACATATGTTCTGTTGCTTTTGAACAGAAGACACTGTAAACATATTAGATCAATTTGGTATGAAGCATAGTCCAAGTTCATGTTTTGATGTTGTTTGTTTGTTTTGTTCTGGGTTGTTTAAGATTCTTCATGTGGTGATTGTGTAGTGTGTGTGTGTGTTCTATGTATGTGTGTACAACATATGTTTGATTCCCTGTATCTGGAGTCACTCAGTGTGAGTGCGGAAACTGAACTCAGGTTCTCCAAATGAACTGCCAATGCTTTTCATAGCTGACTTGTCTCTCCAACCCTCTAAGTCTTTCTTTTTTTAAATTGATTTTTCTGTCTGAAACTTTCCCATGTTGAATGAGGAGTATGAAGTTTCCAGATATTATTGTATTGTTACTATGTCTCCCTTTGATCTTTGATGCTTTGTGTGTTTCATTTATCTAAATTACTTATAATTATAAATTTATAATCTTTAATAATTATTTGGTTTGGTTTTGTTGAGACAAAAATTTTCTATGTAGCCCAGACAAGCCTCGAATTCACATTGTTTCTGCCTCATCCTCTCTGGTGCAGGAGTTCTATGTACATAACACTGTGACCAGTTTTACAATTGTTAAAACCTCTTGAGAATCAACATCATTTTATGTTGAGCTGTTTGTCTTGCAGTCTTAGGTGATAGAAGTATAGGGGATGCTGCTTTATGTTGGTCTCTGTTTGCTTAGAACATCTTTCCCCAACCTTATTTCAGTCTTTTAGTGTCCAATGGTGATGTGTAAACACCGCATTTAATGACTGTATACCACTGTGTGATTCTGCCATTGACTTGAGCAAGAATTTTCCTAATTCTGGATAGTTAGGTTATTTTCAGTGTTTTACTCTTATAAATAATGACACAAAGTATGTCTAAAATAACTACATTATTTCCTCAATCTGGGTTTCCAGACTTTGAACTATTTAGATAAAAGGATATAAACATTTTACAACATTGATCCAGTCCCATACATGACATTTTCATGCTGAGCAACCAGGTACAGTTGGAAGTATCTCCATTATTGTGGGAATTTTAAAACCTGAATTTCTTCTTTGTACTCAGCACCTTTAACCTCCTCCTTGTAGTGGTCTAGACAGCAGTTTTCTCTCTTTTGTTGCAAATTCACTGGTAGCACTTTATGTATGTCTTTTCTCTTTGGAAATCCTTTCATTTTAATTTCTCAAGTCATTTCTAATATATTAATCAGAAATTTAACTGCCATTTCTCTTCATTATTTTACTTAAACATTTTCATTTTGAACTGACTTTCTTTAGACCTCTTGTGATAGGTTTTGATACCTAAGCAAAGCATAAAACTTCTGCTGTTCTTTATAAGAGACCAAAAGCATTCATTTATTCTGCAACGGATATATCGTGTTCAGGGTAATATTGTAAGAGCTCTCTGATTTAAGAAGGGTAGATAAAAATAAGTTTCAGTGATTCGTGGACTTCACACCACAAGAAGAGAAACCATTTTCTAGGTTGTTTATCTGAAAAGGGCGTCAAGATGAGCATTGTCCATGTAGCTCTGCGTGAGTCTGGTGTCACTTGGCATTACTTGGAGGATAGGAGTGGATGCAGAAGCCATTGGATGGGTGTTGCCTACTGGCTTGTTCCCCATAGCTTTCTCAGCCTGCTTTCTTATAGAACCCAAGACCACCAACCTAGGGATCACAATGGACTCGACCCTTTCCAATCAATCACTAATTAAGAAGATGCCCTACCAGCTTGCCTACAGTCCAGTCTAATAGAGGCATTTTCTCAAATGAAGTTCCCTCCTCTGGATGACTCTAGTTTGTGGCAGGTTGACATAAATCTAACCAGCATGTTCCCTTTTCAGCTCAGTGCCCAAGGTTTCAATATCAGCCTAAGACCTATTCACACACCAAGACAGTGATCTCTAATTTAGAGAAAAATTATGTGAGCAGGTGGTAGACTTTTACAAGAAAACAAATTTTGATATGTTTAATCTTTTGTTGTTGTTGTTGTTTCATTTTGTTTTCAAAACAGGGTTTCTTTGTAGCTTTGGAGCCTGTTCTGGAACTGGTTCTTGTAGACCAGTCTGGCCTTGAGCTCACAGAGATCCACCTGCCTCTGCCTTCTGAGTGCTGGGATTAAAGGTGTGTGTATCACCTGGTGATATTTTTAAGCACATATCTTTGTAAGACTACCAACATATTCCTCGGCACGCATGTACAGGGAGCTTGCTTTCATAAATCCAATAGAATGGCTTTTCAGTTACTATTATGGCTAAGAGGAGATCTTCAAAAAGGATGGGAATTGAAGAGTGTTAGTTATCACAAATGTTTTAAATATCCATTTTTAAATTTATTTACATTATTAACTTATAAAATTAATGAAGAAGACATTTACAAGTTTACTCAAATTATAAATTAAAACTTTAAATGAAAGTCTGTCATGATGTATTTCTTAAACAGCTTCATTCCAATATGGAGGAAGCTTGGCTAAATTCTTAGAAGGGTTCTCATTACAAAGAGAATAAGAAGTCTTCAGTTTTCTTCTGTCATGAATTGCTAAAGGTAGTAATGAAGTATGTGTGTGTGTAAGATAATATACCCAGGGGCTGAGAGATGGCTCAGAGGTTAAGAGCACTGCCTGCTCTTCCAAAGGTCCTGAGTTCAATTCCCAGCAACCACATGGTGGCTCACAACCATCTGTAATGAGATCTGGTGTCCTCTTCTGGCCTGCAGGCATACACGCAGGCAGAATGCTGTATACTTAATAAATAAATAAATATTTTTTAAAAAAGATAATATACCCATAATATTCTTTTTCATTGATTTTATTGGGCTATACATTTTTTTCCTGCTCCCCTCCCTTCCTCTCCCCTCTACTTCTACTCTCCCACAGTCCCCATGCTCCCAATTTACTCAGGAAATCTTGTCTTTTTCTACTTTCCATGTAGATTAGATCCATAATATTTTTTAAAACACGGTTCTGCTGTGTAGTCAGGCCAGCCTTGATCTCACAGTCCTCCTGTTTCAGCCAGCTGAATATTTTGACTATAGAATATCGCCACCCCTCCTGGCTTCAATAACATTTAATGTGCAAGATATTATTTTCCACTGTTGACTTGAGAGATGCTTCGACTTCGCTATTAAGTGCTACCAAGTTCTCGTTGCTAAGGAGGGAACTTTTGATAAAGAAGCAGTCTCCTTCCTGTAGAATTCTGTAAGCTTAGTTATGCATAAATCTCTTCCTTTTTTCAGGTACTCCAATTACGAATTTATTAGTGATAACTCTATTTCTTGGTCAGCTGGACTTCACAACCGATATACAGAAAATTCACTTCGGGGTGTGATCCTGGATATACACTTTCTTTCCCAGGCGGACTTCCTAGTGTGTACTTTTTCATCCCAGGTAAGTGGTGGTATGTTTTAATGGTAAGCACACACTGTGTGCTGAGCAGGAAAATAGTGTTTGTGTTTTTAGTGTTAGCATGACTCTGGTATAATTGCCTTTATACTCAGTAGTGCTATCTTTTGTGAAAGAATGAAGAGATCCCACAGAAAACTGCTGGAGCGCATTGAATATTTAGTTATTTACAGCAATGACTGAATACATCTCCACTGAATCCAGTTAAAAAGGTTGTTCATAGCATCTAACAAAAACAGCACTTAACGTGCTTAAGTTTATACCTTCCTGATTCTGCAAACTGCCAGTATGTGACCAAAATCCATCCATTTCTACATTTCAGTACAATGATACGATGAGACTTAAGTTCCTAGCCTTTTGCCTCCCTTGTGTTATAATAAAGATAGTAAATGCAAGTCTTTCACAAATCCGATTACATTTCTGTGAAGCAAGGAGCTTAAGTTTAAAATTTTCAGTTTTAAAAACTTAATTACTACACTATTGCAATAACTCCTTGAGTCTGGTTGTTGCATATATGTTCCAGGTTTGGGGTGTGTGTGTGTGTGTGTGTGTGTGTTTATGTGGTATCTAGTCAGTCTTCTGTGCCCCATGGAATACTGGGGCTGCAGTATTTATTGTGAGTTGGACATATGAGTCTTGCTCTCATTCAGAATCAATACAACTACAGGACAGTTACAAAAAATTATAAATTGGTGTGAAATAAGTGTGCATGATGCTGAGAACCTCATGGTAAAGAGAATATGTAAGAGAAAGCACAGTTTCCATGGGAAAGAATAAAGAAATGGATCATATTTTTTACAGTATCACAGTCAGTACCTTAAAGCAGGATGTTGATAAAACCTTTGGAAGGTGCTCGTCAATGCAAAGGCTATAGTTCTTTATAGTGAAATAAGAATACAACTCACTGTGTGAAACAGCTACACAAAACAGGAGTCTCACAGCAGGAATCTGATCTCAACAAAAAAATCTCCTTAGCCTTCAAATTCCCATGGAGGCATCTAATGGCAGTGTTTAACTAGGGATTCTGTCTGCAAAAAGCACCTTTTCCTTGCCCATAGATGAGGTATGTGTCTACTTGATCCCACTCCTATTTCTGAGAACCTAGCTACCTGATAATACAGTCTAAGCAGGTTATACTTAGGAACATATATGCTTGTACATATATACGTAAATGCATGTGATAAAAATTAACGAAGAAAGAGGCCATGAATTTGAAAGAGAGCAAGGAGAGGGGTGTGTGGGAGAACTAGGAGGAGGAAAGGGAAGGGAGAAACGATGTAATTATATTATTATAATCTCAAAAATAAATGGAAAAAAATAAAAAGAGTCATTTGACAAAGAAGATAGCCCAGTAGGTAAATGTACATGCTGGCATGCCTGATGACCTGAGCTCAGACTTCAGTCTCAGGGAGTGCATGCATGCACTCATAAATGGAATACAAAATTAACGTTTTAAGAAAGAGAAACTCTTCCTGGGGCCATTGCTTGCCTGAAGTCTGTCCTCCAGCCAGTCTTCCTTCCTTCCTTCCTTCCTTCCTTCCTTCCTTCCTTCCTTCCTTCCTTCCTTCCTTTCTTTCTTTCTTTCTTTCTTTCTTTCTTTCTTTCTTTTTGGTTTTTCAAGACAGGTTTTCTCTGTAGCTTTGGAGCATGTCCTGGAACTCATGCTGTAGACCAGGCTAGCCTCAAACTCACAGAAATCCACCTGTCTCTGCCTCCCAAGTGCTGGGATTAAAGGTGTGCACCACCACCACCAGCTTACCCAGAGTAATTTTTGACCATTTATACCAAAGCAAATCTCAAACAATATTTTCTAACAAAGTAGACTGGAATAACTGCAGTATTTTGTGTTAGGGTTCAGAATAGAAGTGTTCATGAAACACAGTGTAATTGTCTGTAGTGAGTGGCAGTTTGTCCAAGGCGATCGCTTCTATTAACTCATCTTATTTGATGGCTGACAACTGTAGCGTTTAAGAATGTGGATTAATTCCATATTTAGTTACACATAAGTTCTACTTTCACTTATACCATAGGAATTTTTGTACAAATATTTTTGATAAAGAAATAATTAGTGCAGCTTAATAAAGTTGTTCGAGTTTCCTTGTCATAAGCTAAAACTGGAATTGCATGAAAAGTGCTCTAGAAATGTCTTACCATCGCAAAAAGAACAAAAGAAAAAGTCATTCACAGGTCAGAATACCATGCCATGAATTTTACAGAGAAGAGGAATGAGGAAACACAGGCTTTGCAGATAGATTATGTAGACCAACTCTGACCACTTAGCTGTTTGGCCTTGAGCAGATCAGTTAGATAACTATTTGTGTTTTGTGGTTTTTCTTTTACTTTTAAAAACAGTAATAATGATGTGTTCTAGTGCATAGTTTTATGAGAACTAAAGACTTGCTGTGGTGAGGGGCGCGGGCCCTTCTGTTCCGTCCTGCCCGGCTAGCTTACACCCAAAATAGCCACACAGAAATTGTACTCATTAAATTATTGCCTGGCCCATTATATCTAACCTCTTCTTGGCCAACTCTCACATCTTGATTTAACCCTTTTCCAATAAATCTGTGTATCGCCACTTGACTGTGGCTTACTGGCATGAGTCTAACCAGAGTCAGTCTTGGGCAGGAGAATCATGGTGTCTGCCTGTCTCTGCTTTCTTCCTCCCAGAATTCTGTTCTGTCTTCTCCGCCCACCTAAGGGCTGCCCTATCAAAAGGCCAAGGCAGTTTCTTTATTCAACCAATGAAAGCAACGCAAATACAGAAGGACCTCCTACACCAATGTGAAATAACGATATACTCAGCAATGTATTAAACACACTAGCTGCTAATATGTATGCTATGCATGTGAATAGTTATTCACATGCCTATTCTAGAGAATTTTCAGTAGTGGTTGGCAGGCAGCTGTTTCCTACATGCTACACTTCAAGCTATATGATCTTACATTTTCAAAGGCACTTGAAACGTGTAACTCAACAACTCCATTCATTATTTCTGCTGTGGTTGTGGGAAATGCTTAGGGCCCACACAGTCACTGTAGGGGACCATGGGAGGGGGATGACAGGGACAGGAGAGGATGGGAGGGGAGCAGAGAAAAATATAAAGCTCAATAAAATCAATCAATAAAAAAACATTCCTTTTTCCAAGGTATGTCTAGGTTTATGTCAAGTTGACATTTCAGACAAAAGTTAGTCATTCTATTATGTGTTAGTGGAAACGCCGTGCACAAACCATCTACGTGATCATTTATATTCTTATTTGCTAAAGCCATATTACTGAAGCAAACAAAATATTGCTGAAGAAATGGAAGTAGTTGGAAGCTCATTGGAAGATAAATGAAATATCAAAAAGGTTTTCTGAAAATTTTGATTTCCAGTTGTAGAATCAGTTTTTACTACTCTGGAGTCTGGTTTGCCAAAGCAATTGTAGATGCTTAAAGACCTAAACATTGGGACTGGAGAGATGGCTCAGCAGTTAAGAGCACCTGCTGTTCTTCCAGAGGATCCAAATTCCATTCCCAGCACCCACAAAGTGGATCACAAATATCTGTAACTCCAGTTCAAGGGATCCAGTGCCCTCTTCTGGCCTCCATTGGCACCAAGCACACACATGATACACAGACATACATTTAGGCAAGCACCCAGACACATAAAATGTAATGCTCTTTTGTAAGAAATCTTTTATGATTTGTAAAATAAACTTAGTGAATCTTAAAAATAAAAGATATCTTAATGCTGTTGAAGTTTACTTTGTTTAATGAGCAGCATTGCTTAGTAATTTGACTTTTTCCCTATGACACCTCCTTTTATAGCAGTTGTTAAAACAGTCCTCATTCTTTAATTCCAAACCCACAGAACAGGACTGATGACATTATATACTTTGAATCAGATTTTGGAAATCCCAAAGGACAAAATTAAGAATAACATTCACTTTGGGTAGGAATTTCCATTGAGGTGTAGTCCATGAAGCAGTAGTAAATACCTTCTGAGAGTGGCAAAGAGAAAACACAGGATAAAAGTTGTGAGCCCTGTTTCTGCTTCCCAGCATGGAGGACAAGAAGTCTGTCCTGAGTCAGCCTGGGTACCGCTCACCTTTGGTGCTGGGTGCTGTACTGTGCCACGTATTGCATTCATTTGGACATTCACACAGTGTAACAAAAACTGGTTTCGTCCTCTCTTGATATAGAAAAACAAACCAATCTAAAGGAAAGGCGTGCAGATTGCCCACCTCACCCACTGACCTGAGAATGGCTTTCAGATTCTCATACTGGGAAAGCCTCTGCCTGACTGTCTGATTTGGCAAAAACAAGGTCCTATCTGCTGTGAGAAAGCTCGGAAGCCCATATACTCAGCTGGATATTTACTTCTAAGGGTTATAGTCAGACTAGTGGATATTTACCTTTTAAATATTTTTTAAAGCCCTTATACCTGTATTATATCATTTAGCAGGAATTTTTGCTGTTAGTCATCACTGTATGCTTAATAATCCGCTAGAAAGTAATACAGCGTTGGCACACAATGAAATAAAATACACTGTATACAGAGCCATGTTATGTCTGTAAGAGTAACCCTCTCTGTCACGCACGTTCAGAGTACCAGCCTTGAATATTGCCATCAACTGCAAGCCTTCACTGCCTAACACATGATTTGAGTTTGTAAAGTCCAGGAAGTCGAATGTAGTTGAATGCAGACACCAATACTATAATGATCCTTCTAGCTCTTAGCAGTAAATTGCCCCCAGGATTGAGATAAACAACCCTTATTTATTTAGAATGTTGTATATGGACTCGAGCATCCATCACTGGAGTACCACTTACTCAGCAGATAATCACTGACCACCTACTGTATGCTATCTACAGTTCCAGTTGCTTATCCAGAAGCAGATTCATATGTGCTTGAGAGCACATACTCTCAAACCAGAGCGAATTCTAATTGTTGCTGTAGTATTTACTATCTAATTTTTGTATTTTTCAGAGTAAAGTCACAAAATCTCCCTGTGACTTAGTTTCTTCATCTTTAAAATGAGTAGAAATAGTACTTGGAGGTTTTGTGTGGCAGTGAAAGGAGTTTGTAGGGAGGGCTTGCTCTGAGACTGTGCCTGGTGATGTGGGAAGTCCTTCTGTATATGTGCTGCCTTTATTGGTTGATGAATAAAGCTGTTTTGACCAATGGCTTAGCAGAGGAAAGTTGACAGGAAGTCCAAACACAGATAGAGTAGGCGGAATGGAGGAGATATCCAAAAGAGGTTCAGATATCACCAGCAAGTCACAAGGCTCATGGTAAAATATAAACTAATAGAAATGGGCTAATTTATAGTAAGAGCTTGCCAATAAGAAGCCTAAGCCATTGGCCAAACAATTATATATTAAGTTTCAGAGTGGTTAATCAGGAACTGGTGGGTGGGACAAAAAACCTCCAGCTACAGCCTGGAATGCAATCAGTACTCATTAAGGTCAACTGCTGCTATTATCACCATTATTATAAGATAAAATGCCACCCCTACAGCACTAGGGTGATTGGAGGTACCCAAATCCACATTTGTCCAGAAATCTCTTTTGTATTGTCCCAACTGAAATTTATCATTATTTAATCCTTTGGTTTAGGAAAATACAGATGTACTCAACAAAGGCTAACAAATAACTAACAAAACATAAACTAATTATTAAAATTTTCTCAAAAAGCAAGACCTTGTGGAACACAGGGCAGTGTTCTTAATGAGAGCAATGCATTAAAAACTGAAGAGGTTTAATCGTTTGTGGGTGACTGCTATGGTAGACTTGTGGTCATCCTGAGAGTAATGCAGCCTTGCATTTCGGGCTAAGAAAGGCTGAAGGGTAGAAGGAAGGACCCAGAAGAGAAAACTCAGGTTTCCCAAGGATAACTTAGCTCTTAGGTTGTGTCTTTCTGGATGTGACAGAACGAATATGGAGCATAAGATTTGTAAGAGAAAATATGTATGGCAGTTACAAATCTATGCAGATTGCCTGGGTTCAAACTTAAATCTAGCACTTACTAGTAGTGTAACAGGGACAGACGTTTTGTTTTTAGTTCCGAATGATAGAATCTTATGGGGTCCTAGGAGGATTATGTCAAGTAATGTCTCACATCAATATTTGACAACCAAAGCTCAGCAAACATTAGCTTCTTCCATGTTATTTAGATTGTCATTAATAGAGCTTCATTATTTTAATTACTGTTATGTGTCTCAATGAGGATACTTTCTGAGAAAGGTGTCATTAGGCATTTTTGTGACTGTCAGAATGTGACATACTATGAACTAAGATTGCCACAGGAATTTGAGGATGTAATCTTAGGAGACCACCATTTTGTATTTGGTCTGTCAGTGATGATATTTGTTTCTTTCCAGAGTTCAATTTAATTTTTCTTTCTCTGCGTCTTTAAATTTGTAGTTTAAATGTTCCAAATTGCTTTTATTCTTGTTTTAAAATAGTTTTTTTTTTTCTACCATTGATCCAATCTATACCATGGCAGTCCCGAGATAAACTTAGTTTCTGGTGGCACATGCTAATATCCCAGCATTAGAAATAGAGGTAGGAAGACTAAGAGTTCAAGGTCATCCTTAGCTATATAAGAGTCTGAGGCCTTCCTGAGCTAGAGGAGCCCTTATCTCAAAAACAAATAAAAATCATTGTCTTGATTCTTTCTGTCAGTACTTAAAGCTATAGCACTAAGACTTAAGTCAGTTTCTCTTAATCACTTTGTATTTTAATTCCCGAAAAAAAAATAGAAAGTTGTCTCTCTTTAGTTTGATTTGCCAATTATATCTAGCCTTTGTGCTCAAGTTTCTGAAATTCAAATTTTCCAGGAAGTTGAGGTGAGGGTTAACCTAGTCTTTTTTTGTTTCTGTTTGTTTGTTTTGTGTTTTAAATGTTAGAAGATGAGTGTCTCAGAATAAAGTATTGCTCAGGTTATAATGCTTGTCTGTGTACAAAGCCCTGGGCTCACTGCCCAGCATAACTCAGAAAGAAAGAAAAAGAACATCTTCATTCAGTTTTTGATCTCCACGAATGTCTCAGTTTATAAACATCTGCTGAGTCATTTGAAAGTGCCATTAGCAGATTAACAGCTATTAATAGTGGTTTCATTTTTAAGTAGATGCAAAATGTTGGCATAAGGACAATGAAAATTTATTAACCAAGATAAGCAAAGTAGAGATGTAGAGAAATTTGACCTGAATTGAGACCCCAGTCAGAATGTAAAAAAGAAAAATGTTGTAGGCAACATGATGGTTCTCTGCTGTCATCACCTGGCTCAGGAAGGGATCCAAAGCCCATTTTACTTTCTAGTGACTCTGTCGATTGCCTGGGTGCTGCCCTTCTGTGACGGGAGCTTAGCTTTTGTCACCAACATAGTAAATCCCAGAAGTGAAGTTCAGAGTATGCCGTTTTACCTGCTAGCGAGAACATTCTTTAACAGAAGAATCTTTTAAGTAATCTTAAAGCAACACGAGTTGGGCAAATATATCTTCCTTAAAGATTATTACTCCAGCTTGTATCAATCTAAACATGCTCTTATGTATGGAGCACACTTTAGAGTTCTTTAGGAATAGCTGCTATGTTTAAACCCACTTGCTCATTGCTCATCAGTAAATACATAAATCTCTACTGAGGAGAGTTCTGAGAAAACACTGTGGTTAAGAGTCAACAAAGGGAGCTGGAGAGGTGGTTCAGCTGTTTAGAGTGATCGGAGTCCAGTCCCACGTGGGGCCGCTCACAACTTCCTATAACTAAGCTCCAGGGGGATCTGACAACCTTCTGGCTTCTACAAGACTTGCACATGAATACACGTGCACACAGAGAGACATATGAACATATACATTAATACAAATAAAAATTAATTTAACTTTTAAAAAAAAAGAGTGGGTGAAAGGATGAGAGCCACAATATTTGTGTTATTTGAGGTGCTAGTCCCAAACCTTAAATTCTCTAGATAAAAACTTGATCATACTTACTTTTGTGTTACTGGTTCCCAGCTTGGAAGACCTTGTAGCTCTTAATAATGTTTATTAAAAATCAGTTAATTCATATTCTTAAATTACCTTGTACAATATAATTATAGCTCCTGCTGTTTTAATTCTAAAACTTATGTGTGTGTATGCACATCTGTTTGTGTGTGCGCGCATGTGGGTAGGCATAAAGAGTAAGTCCCCGTCATCAGCTGACAGCAATGGACTGACTGTTCTTAGCCCTCTTTGCCCTAGAGCCTGTCTTTGGTTAGAGACTGATGTGCGGCAGGGTGTTTGCACTGTGTACTAACACCTCATTCACCCTCTTTTCCAAGGTCTGTCGGGTTGCTTATGAAATCATGCAAACGCTGCATCCTGATGCTTCTGCAAACTTCCATTCGCTAGATGACATCTACTATTTTGGAGGACAAAATGCCCACAACCAGATTGCGGTTTATCCTCACCAACCTCGAACTGACGCGGAAATCCCCATGGAACCTGGAGATATCATCGGTGTGGCTGGAAACCACTGGGATGGTTATTCTAAAGGTGTCAACAGAAAACTGGGGAAAACAGGCCTGTACCCTTCCTACAAAGTCCGAGAGAAGATAGAAACAGTCAAGTACCCCACATATCCTGAAGCTGAAAAATAGGGATGGAGTGTCAGAGAGGAACAACAGAACTCAGTTCAGACCATCTCAGCCAGCAGAAGACCCAGACTAACCATGTTCATTGACAGGCATGCTCGGCACCAAGAGCAAGTGGGACCCTCAGATGCTGCACTGGTGGAACGCCTACTTTATGAAGGGTTGCCGTGCCCTAAGCCCATGCACAGTCCAATAACATACTCACACATGACATACAAACGGATTCTTTTCTACTTTGCCCCTTTAAATATTATGTCCCCATGAAATAAATACTGCCACGTTGTGTAATTTAAGTGACACAGACATTTTGTGTGAGACTTCAAACATGGTGCCTATACCTGAGAGACCTCTGTGGCTTACTGAGAAGATGCTAGCAGCTCCCTCCTGTGGGGAAGTTGGTTCTGAGCCAGTGGTAGTGGTGTGGCCACTGAGTTCACTCCAGTCAACAGATTCAGAATGAGAATGGATGTTTTTCCTTTATATGGTTGTCTGGAATTTTTTTTAAGTAATTTCATCAGTTCAGTTCGTCCACCTCATCATTAATAAATGAAGGAATACACCAATAAAGTAAAGTGAAATATTCACTGTCCATTAGGAAGTTTTGTAAAACGATGCCATGAACAAAAATTCTTTAGTACTCAATGTTTCTGGACATTCTCTTTGATAACAAAAATAAATTTTAAAAAGGAATTTTGTAAAGTTTCTGGAATTCTGTATCACTGGATGATGTATTGTAGGCTTTGTAGAACTAAGGGGGAAATGGAATTATAGCTCTTAAGATTTTTTTTTTTTACTCTTGTCCTACTTTTTTCCTTTTCTGGTGGAGTAATCTTACTTTAACTAAGAGAAGCATGGGTCCCTCTAATAGGTAAATGGCTGTAGTGGGTGCATATTATAAGTTGCCAAGAGCGTGCTTGAGGGAGGTGTTTATTCTCTTACTTGGGATATCATTGATTTGTCATAATTGAATGAAATCGTCATTCTCTTGCTCCCAGGGAAACTAATCCATAGCAGGTGTGTGTGGTAATCTCTCTTACGGTGGCAATTGTGGCTTTTTATGAATTGGATCCTGTTGTTTCATCCAGGTACATGCCCTTCCTGTCATGTCCTGCTTTTGAGGACACAAGGAATCTGAGGGGTTGGAAGCTGATTGTTTCTGAAGTATGTAACTCATGGTAGAGAATCTTGTGACCAAAACAGGGGGGGCCGGAATGGGATCCAGAATAAACCTAGACTCACCCTTTCTAAGTTTCCTTCTAGGGACCCATGTTGGAATTACTGCAGAAGCGTGAGATGCCCCTGCTTTTACAGGAAACACCTACATCTGTATGAAGCCCCTTCTGCAGGAGCATTTCATAGCATGTGTTCTGAAGAGACAGGGTCTCTGTGTAGCCTGGCTGGCCTCAAACTCATAGGGATCCTCCTACCTCTGCCTCTGTAATGCTGGGACTACAGATGTGCACACCACACCCAGCTTGCCTCCCAGATGAAATATTTGGTCCATGTAGGAGCCAGTCATAAGCCTGGTATTAAGCATCTGACCTTTATAACCTCAGGAAATGAAATCTTTCCACTAAATGTCTCTTAAGTCTTAACTACCTCTCAAAGTGCACCCTTCTGAAAGAGCACAACTTTTAACCGTAGTGTTCAGCAAATTTTCATTTAGTTTAGGCACAAACACAAATCAGGTGAAGTGGGATCTCCAGCTGAGCAGAGACCGGCTGTGAATGAGTCAGGCTTCAGCTCCCATCTGACTTGTCGTCAGAACACTGGGAACTGTATGGGTCTGATCTGTACTGCTGTGGAACCCAACTGACCCAGTTCCAGAGCTGAAAGAAAGAGAATAACTTAAAGAGGAAATAAGGGATTCTCAAATGAAGGCAAAGACATAATTCTGTGTATTTTATCTTTGAGTTCTAGTTCGGTTTCTTTTTAATTCATCTTCTCTGTTGGGATTTCTTCTTTGTTCACCAAAAGCATATTTTTCTTTGCTAAAGATAGTTAAATAATTACTTTAAGAATCCTTTTCCTGGGGGAGGGGGTGAGGAGGGGGGTTAGCCCAATGGTAGAACACTTCACACTGAGTAAGTAGTAAGGTCCTGAGCATTGGAAAGATGTTTTTATTACTTACTACTTAGGTTTTTTGAGACAAGATCTCACTGTATTGCCTAGGTGGGCCTCAAGCCCCCAATCTTACCTTAATCTACCAAGTGCTAGGACTGCAGATACGTACTAGAATGTCTGGCTTCGTAACTGCTTCATGTTGTAGGCTCTGTTATATTCCTCTGAAGAGTGCTGTTGATGCTGATGCTTGCAGGAACATAGTTTTAAACTTCATTGAGCGCTGCTTATAAACTGTCTTGGGTAGCAGCTCAAATTTTATTTTAGTTCTTTTATCTTTCCCGGCGTTTGTCCTGCATATATTTCAGGTCTTAGTTAAAAACAAACAAACAAACTGGGCAGAAATTATGCACAGAATTTAAGGTACTTTTGCTTTAGTTCCTTTCTTTTGAGATTTCCCTCTCACTTCCAACAACTACAGTTGTTGACTCTGTAGTGTGCTCAGTTTCTTTGTCCAGAAAGACTGCAATTTTTGGTTGTTTTCATTTTGTTTTGTTTTTTTTTGTAGGGGTGAGGAGGGTGAGGCGTTAAAGACAGGGTTTCTCTGTGTAAGAGCCCTAGCTGTCCTGGAACTTGCTTTGTAGACCAGGTTAGCCTTGAAGTCACAGAGATCTACCTGACTTTGCCTCCCAAGTGCAGAGATTAAATGCACGTACTATAAATGCATGCACCACCATGCCCAGCAAGACTACAGTTCTCTATCAACTCAAAAATCCATAGAATAGGTCATTCTCTGGTACTCTTATCTCCCTCCATATTTCAGTCCGCCTCTGAAAGTTTGTGTTCTATTCTGTGCTTTTGAGTATTTTCATGTATGTTTGAAACCTTACAGTTGATCCGGTAGAAAGTGCATTCATAAGGTGCTCACTCCACCGCACATGAGTAGAACTCTGAGAGACTTCAGTGGAAAAGCATGACAATAAGGGGCTAAGCAACACTGGTGACCATATCCAGAAAAGCTTTCCAGGGGTGTTACGTCGTAAGCCATCATGTGCAGGATGGTGATTCCTTTCATACACACTGCCTTCTTGGAAAGGCTAGCATTTCTTCATCACCCGGCGCTTGATTTATGAGGACCTGGTGCTTAGAAACCCTCTGTTAGGGTTAGAGTAGAAGTATTTGCATCTTTTCCTTTTGGGGTGACTTATTTCTCAAAAGGCTTACCCGGAACCACATTACTACACCTGGATTATTGACTGTGGATAATAGATTCTGCTTATTGGTAGCAAAGCAGTTAACAGTTGTATCAAGGCTTTTCTGATCCTTCACTTAAGTCTATTTGTTGACTTGGACTCTGAAAAAGTTCAGGCCTATTGTAAAAGGGCTCCAGGCCAAGATTTTTGTTGGGTTCCAAATAAATAAGGCCAGTTGCTTCCTTCTATGGATTTTAGTTTTCCATTTTCTTTTTAGTCAAGCCTGTTTCCTAGATCCCATTAATAAAGAACAACTTCAGTGTGGAAGTTGAGGGCTAAGGGACAAAAAGGGAGCCCCTTTGGCCACAATTCACTGCCCAGTGTGTCCTTTGTGCTTCCAGGAAGCTACAGAGAGCTCAGTAGACTTTTGCACAATAAATGGGACTCTTAGAGATTGGTGAGTTTGCAAACTTGGCTATGACACCTCAATTTATGCAGATACAGGTTCAGGGAATTTTTTAAAAGGAAATTTTATACTTACTAGTGCCTGGCAGCATTTTCCCTTATAGAAATAGGAAGGCGCTGTTCCAAGGCAGAAAAGAAATAGATTTTAAAGTCCTCTTGTCTTCCATCTGTCACCAGTATTATACATGCTTGACGACCTGTTCTTTGGCTGAGTTCTCTTGTTTCTACAAATCAAAACCTCTGACTGTTGTCCTCCTGAGCTATTCAGAGTACCACTTCCAGGTCAGATGGCACTTGCTCTTTCTGTCTTCAAGACTACCTTGGTTTTGTGGTGCTGCCACCTTAGTGGAGGAAGATCTCACGAAAATGGTTCCTTGTACTAGCCCATTCTTCATGGCATTTATATGCCTAATCACTTACCGAGACCACAGTTTTGTTGCTGGCATCTGTAAGATATAAATGTGATTAAACAGCTCCTTGGAGAGTTATAGATAGGTAATTTGTGGATACTATGTGAGACATAGTAAAGCTGGGTCCCCTGTATTCATGTCTGTCTAAACTCAACATGCCCAAGAGTTTGACAAATCAATGTCACTACACTTGATAGGAACATTTTATGTAAAAGTATGTTGTTCTAGACAGACCCTGCACCTTTTTAAAAACAATCTATTGAAGACTCTGGCCATGGGCCACTTAATGTTTTAGGAAGAGTTCAGATCCCCTGTTGAGCTCCTGCCACAAGGAGCTTTGTGGTCAGTAACTGTTCTCAGAAATCTCTCCTCCCACATCACTGTCCTTTAGAGGCTGTTGTTTCTTAACTGCCTGTGTGGGGAGAAAAGGCCATTGACAAAAGCTTGTTGATTCATAACCCAGCTGGGTAGGAGAGCGTCTGTGGAGGTGGGAATGTGCATCACTTCAAAATGTACCCAGGGCACAAATATTTTAGGCCGTGGGTGTGGTCAGCAGCCCGAGGAATGATGGCCTTTGTGTTCCTAGCTAGTATTCCGTAGAGGACGACAGCCACTAAGAATTTCTGGCCAAGTGAAGGAAATGGAAGGAAGTGGGGCAAAGGCAAATGACCAGCAATGGTGTTTCCTATTCAGAGCACCTACAAGTGCAGGCCATATCCTTGAACCTCAGAGCTCTAAGAGCAAGCCTCAGTGCTCACCGTTGTCCCTAAATGAGACTTCTGGTTTCAAATGTGAGTGGGCAAAACTTCTTCAGAACTTTATATAGTCTTCGTGTATGGAGTAAATTGGTTAGTCCTGTTCAAGGTCTGCAAATTGTCCAGTTGGATCCCACACGTCTAAATGAAGCAGTAATGATTCAGCATCAGCTGATTGTTTTCTCAAGGGCAAAATGTGACCACGTCTTTGTCTTCCTAGGCAAAGCAGATCTATTTATTGTGTACAATCTTCAGAGTTTTAAAACTGCAGCAGGATAATTTAAAAAAACAAACATACAAAAAGACAGAAAAACACATGGAGTCAGGTGGTGGTGATGCATGCCTTTAATACCAGCACTCAGGAGGCAAAGGTAGTTAGATTAGATCTCTGTGAGTTCAAAGCCAGCTTACTCTACAAAGCGAGTTTCAGGATAGTCAGGATTGTTTTACACAGAGAAACCACATCGCAAAACAAAAAACGAAAAACATGAACTATATAAAACTCAAACAAAACAAAACGAAAAACAAAATGTGACTGGACTGTTGATAGTCTCTGAACTAGACTGAGGAAGTTCTGAGTCCCTTCTAGTCTTTTCACTGTTTCCTAAGTTCTAGCCACAAACAGTGGAAATTGTTCGCAAATGGACCTCATAGCTGGTGTTGTTAGATTACAAGGCAGGAATGGTGTGTCTGTTGTTAAGGGTGAAGAGCCAGTGGTTCAAAATAAGATTGCTCTAGTTGCAGGCTTGGCTTCATATCCATTGCCTCAGCAGGTTCCATCTGAGGCCACTCTTTCAAGAAACTCG